ACATGGTGGCTATGAACCGTCCTTAACTCCAGTTTCAGGGGAATCCGATGCCCTCTTCTGACCTCCACAGCATTGCATGACACAGGTGTGCTTACATACATGCAGGCAATACACTCATACACATAAAACAAAAAATAAAATAAAATAGAAAAAAATGAGTTTTTCTGTATGAAACAGTACATTTTAAAATGAAATGGAGATCTTTTTTAAAGATTAAAACCTCATTCAATTTTATGTCCTATAGGGTTATACTGAGTACGATATTGTATAACTATTAATTCAACTGTGAACCTAAAAATTTACAGCCAATTTTGAAAGAGATGTATCTTTGCTTTGGAAATTGTTATTGAATATGTCAATGCTGTTGCAATGAAATGCTTCTTCCAATCATGTGGTTATTAAACAAATAATTTTTTTGTCTTTCTGAGACAGGATCTCCTTGTAGCCCCAGCTGTCCTGGAACTCACTACGTAGACCAGGCTGGCCTCAAACAAAGATCCACCTGCCTCTGCCTCCCAAGTGCTGGGATTAAAGGTGTGCGCCACCACGCCCGGCTAAATAAATAATTTTTTAAAAATTCAAAAATATCCTTTTAGGTGCTGGGCTGGAGAGATGACTCAGCAGTTAAAAGCACCGACTGCTCTTGCAGAGGACCTGGGTTCGATTCCCAGTACCCACATGGTGACTAACAACCTTCCATAGCTCCAGTTCCAGGGAAATCCAACACCCTCTTCTGACTCCACAGGCATTGCACAACGTGGTGTACTCACATACATGCAGGCAATACACTCATACACATAAAATAAAAATAACTTTAAAAAATTTAAAGTCTTTTTAATTGAACTTGTCTGGGACACAGCCCCTGCAATTTAAACCATAATCTGTTTCTTCTCTTCAACCTGGTAACCTAGCCCCAGCCTCCCACAGTTGACCTGGAGGGGAGATAGCATAGGTGTGTGACGAAGAGCTCCAGGCAGTGAGAAAGCAAGGTACACCAGTGAATTGGGAAAAGAATAGGTCCAGATGGCTGTGAAGACTGAACTGATAGAAATCAATAGAAGGGGTGGGAAAGAGAAACAGAAAGAGATCAGTGAAGCAACAGTCAAGAAAAGGAGAGCACATTCTATGAATCAGAGCACTGCATCCCATCAAGCCCCAATTGCAAATTTATAAATGTGAATGATGGAAAAAATATGAATCAAATGATCAAATGAATGGATATTCTGATTGCTACTTGCAAAAAAATACTGACTCGTAAAACAGGGGTGGGTGGGGGATAGCAGGACGCAGCCAGACTCTTAACAAACATGATCCTGAATTTAAACCACTGTTGATTATGGCTTTCATCCTTGGGCAGATTGCATGGCCACCCTCCCTGGCCCCCACTTGTCAAACGCCCCCCAAGCCCACCAGGCTTGGGTCTTCAACAAGAAAGAAGCTCAGACAAAAGTCTGAAGTTGTATGAGGGATTTATTCAAGGAAACGCAGTTACAGGTCGGGGAGTGATTACAAGATGGTTGCCTCTGTTGTGGGGATCACAGATCTTATACAGGACTCAGAGTTAGGGTCGCCAAGGAGATTTTCCTAACAGAAACAAAAGAGTAACTATGGATACAGCATGTACCAGTGCCCGCAGACTGAACCGAAACTAACTTTCTAGAAGACCTGATTTATCATGCAGGTTCAGCCTGTCAGCTCAGACCACTGAAGCGGAGAGCTCAGAAGCTCTTAAAGTGTCACTCTTCTAATTTCCAATGCTTATGTCAAGCATGGCTCCCGACACCCCACCCTCTTTACACTTCCCTTGTATCACATAGGAATTTCTGCCTACTTCAAAGCATGATTTAACTGAGAGAACAAAAATGTCAAGGGTAACAATAGCAATAATTTTTACATAGGTTCTCTACTTTCCAAAATACTTTCTCACACACTGTTTGGATCTTGACAAATCTGTGATGTTTTGAGATTATTGTTTTATGCCAGTTTGGTGAAAAAGAATCCATGACATGAAGAGATTAGAGGTAGGTCATCTAAGGTCACCAGTTTGAGAGCGAAAGATTATTCCCAACCAAGTACTAAGAGTGCAAATCTTGTGTTCTCTCCCATGCTCTGGACTCAGAATAAAAGGAGATGTTTAGAAGAGAGGCAATTCACAGAAAGCATGAATGCTCTTCTGGGGGAAATATCCATCATCACAAAAGGAAAGTGTCCATCACTCAGGAAGGGACAAAAGAGGTTATGGTTGCTCAAGGACAAATAAACATCTCATTATTGTGGGAGCATTAGAATGTATTATCACAAACCTTAGCCACAAAGAGAACATTTTCTTTCTTCCTAGAAAATGGAAAAAGTTGCTACATTCCCAGGACTAAATGCCTGACAGAAGCAACTTAGAGGAGCAGAGGTTCATTTGGCTCACAGTTTAAGGAAGTACAGTCCATGATGGTGGCGTAGACATGGTGAGTGAAGTAGCTTGGCCCACGATGGCAGGCATATGTGGCAGTAGGAACATAGGGTAGTCAGCCACATTGTATTGGTAGCCCAGGAAGCAAACCACTCAGGGGGAAGTGCAACTGGGATACAGCCCTCAAGCCCTGCCAGGTAACCTATGTCAGATAGCAAGGGCCCAGGTTCCAAAGGCTCTACAACCACCCCAAAATAGTGCTACCAGCAGGGGTCCAAGTGTTCCAAACCTGAGCTTGTAGAAGACAGTTCAGACTGAAGCCATAGCAGCTACTAAGTTTCAAAATACATCATTTACAAAGATGATGTGGTCAAAACAAATATCATCTATGAATACACAGGAATCACTTTTTAAAAGGAGAACAATCCAAAAAGAAGTAACTTACCCATAATCACTCTTTTTTTATAAACCAGCAGGTACATCCCTAATATTTTCAATGCTGTCTGCATCTCCTGATTCCTGAGGGTATAGATCATGGGGTTGAGCATAGGGGTCATGACTGTGTGGCTGACGGACACAGCCTTATCCATGGGGAAGGGAGTGAAGGACCAAGCATACAGGTAAATGCTTGGAATGAAGATCATAGACACAACAATGATGTGTGTGGTGCAGGTGGAAGCCACCTTCCTCCTGGCCTCCCCCGAGTGGGACCTCAGCATCACAAGGATGATAAAGTAGGAGATCAGAAGGAGAAAGAACCAGATGACATCCAGCATGCCACTGTTGGAGATCATGAGGAACTCCAGGAGGGAGGTGTCTGTGCAGGCCAGTCTCGGCACTTGGGGAACATCACAGTAGAAGTTATCCAGGATGTTGGGACCACAGAAGGGCAGTGGGAGCATCAGAGACAGCTGAATAATGGAATGGACAAAGCCTCCAATCCATGCTGTCACTACCAGCCCCATACAGAGCTGAGTGTTCATGATGGTGACACAGTGCAGGGGCCGAGAGATTGCCACAAGGCGATCATAGGCCATCACTGAGAGGAAGAAAACCGTGGCCCCTCCCAGAAAGTGGAAGAAGAAGACCTGAGCCATGCAGCCTTGGAAAAAGGCAGTCTTCTTCTCAGAGAGGAAGTCCACCAGCATCTTAGGGGCAGTGGTTGAGGAGAAGCAGAGGTCTAAGACAGCCAGATTGCGGAGCAGAAAATACATGGGTGTGTGGAGCCTGGAATCTGAGGCCACTGTGACTATGATGAGGAGGTTTCCCACAACAGTAGTGGTATAGACAAACAAGAACACCAGAAACAAGAAAAGCTGGAGCTCCTAGTTCTCTGAGAACACAAGGAACACAAATTCTTATACCCTTGTGAGGTTCCCTGGGTCCATGGTATGTCTTCTGCATAAACCTAAAGGAAATGGCTGACAGAGATATCTGTTCAGTGCACAGGGGCTCAGACTGAGTTGTTCAGTTGTTCAGGTCCATATGATGAGCATCTTCTTGTGAAGATCAGGACACCACCTGTTGCCTTGTCTCTGAAGAGTTGGCAAGCTGGTTCTGGGGTACACACTCATGAGTGATCTTAAAATCATTCAGAAGAAAGTACCACCTGCCTTTCCCAGATTGACATAGTGATGGGAAGACACTTGGAGCAAGATGTTCTGGAGTAAATTTAAGGTGTTCTTTTTTTAGTTGACCAGGGATAACAGGCTTAATTCATCAGGATCTCAGTTTCTACACTGAAGGTAGGACTCAAAAGGCTTTCTTTCCTAGATTTTCAGATAGATTAAGTAGAACAACACATTTGAAGTTCCTACAAGTGCATTGCCTGGTATAAGCACCATGACTGTCCTCTGTGTGCCCCATCTAGTCATCTTCCCTTATTCCAATCTTAAATGTTTAGCCAGTTTTCACAGGGCAGTTAAAGCATTAAAGGATTAACAGACCTTTCTTATGTCTATGTTCTTCTTGCACAATTCAATACAAAATCCTGGGACTGTGGACCTGGATCTCAAAATCTATCTGTTCCCAGTGGTGTCCATTCTGGTAATAGGAGATATTGAATGAGGACCTGTTCTAGGCTACAGGGTATGTAAATAGTAACTGAATAAGCAGGTCCTTAGCCAGTAATCCCTAGATGTTGCTGAATACTGGAACTATCCAGGTGCTTCCCACTCCCCAACACAGGAGCATCTTACTTGGTGAAACACCAGAGGACATGCGTATAGGCAAAAGTGAGATGGAGGTCAAGAGTTTCAAGGTACAGGGGACACTCAGCGCTCTTCTGAAAGGACATCAATTTTACCAGATGTTACAAAACCTAAGTGCTGATGAATAAGGAAGGAGTTGAATGAAATAAGTGAGAATAGATGAAGTAAAGGAAGATAACAAAGAAGGGAAACGGGGTAATAGAGCAGGTAAAGGAGGGGGAACTGGAAATGTTGGGGAAGGGAGGGAATGGGTCCAATCAGCTGATGAGAGAAAGACAGAGAGACAGGGTAAGGACATGAAGTCTTCTGATTCCCCTCTCTGTCTTCTTCCTTTCCAATCTCTCTCCTCTGGCCTATTGCAGTCTGTTAGCTCCTGGAGACCATGCTCTTGTCTTCCCTCAGTTCCCGTGCTTACACCCCCATTGTCTTTTCACACAGCTGCCTTCTGAATGAATGAGACCTTCTTGAATGGGGATCTAACCACACTCCTTTCTTGCTACAATCTTCAAGTGCTCACAGCTTAAAACTCCAACTCATAGAGGTTACCTACAATGTTCTGTGCATAGAATCGGGGTAGAACAACGTGTTTGCACATGTCCGTGTGACTCCTCAGTATTTTACACAAGGCTATAAATGCCACCTCCATGTATGTTTGTGATCAGTATTCTTGTTGCCAAGGACACAATTGCTGTCTGAATAATTTGCAGTTTTTATGTTTGCACTCTACTTTATTTCCCTGCCCTTCATAGTAATTCCTGCTTTAGAAATCTTTTATTCTCTGAATAAAAGAATGAATTCTTTCATCTATTTGGGTTGTAAAAGTATTTTACAAAAATGCCCTTAGAGCACTTAGTTTTTCTGGTGCCTCTATTAACTGTATTTTAAATTCAGTAATATTGTTTTATTACTTATTTATGTGCACGTGTGTACACATGCACTCCACTGCCCACTGTTGCCAGATGAAGGTGTAAGATCCCTTGAAGCTGGAGGTATAGGTGGCTGTGAGCACCTGACACAGGTGCTGGAACTGAATTTGGGTCCTCTGCAAGAGAAGTATGCGCTCTTAACCATTCTCTCCAGCCCCTAAACTCAGCAACGTTGTAAGCCCAGCATCTATGACAGCAACTCTGATTTAGTAGTTGTTTCCACAATGTTTGTCAGCTTTATGAATCAGTAGGCAATTATGTAAGCCTATTATGTGTGGTTATGTAGAGAAGTTTGTAACGATGTACTTGAAAATATCTTTAGTTTTCAGCATTCTCCCTCTGAATCACAAGATTAATTCTATGTTTAGCTCCTTTCACATGTAACCTGGGGCACCTGTTATCAACATCACATCCTCCACCCCTATTGTACCTCCAAAGTCCTCACACTTAGGCTGACTCCTAGCAAGTTTGTGTTACTCTGACCTACTGGTGGATATTTGCAGCATCCTTCTAACAGCTGACCCATGTGCAGGAGAGCAAACCCTTTCTTTCACCTTATTTCAGCTCAGCCTGGATCTTCATGGCTTACATCTTCTTCTTAGAGGTCTCCTGCTGTAGCTTCTCAGTCCCTGGCCATCCCTCAAGTGTACTACCATGTGTGGGACCCCAGGGGAACAGGGACCATCCTAAGGGAAAACCTATTGGCCGTGTCTCAAGAAGCAGGGCTCATTACCTCTGGGGCCTAGGCGGCAATATGGGACTTGTTAAAAAGTTTGTGTGTCTCAAAACACATGCTCTTTGAGAGGTCTTCCTTGGGACCAAAGTACCAAGAACACTGACAATTTTAGAGATCTGTGCAATGTTAAATTTGCTGTCCATGATCCAACAGGACAAAAAAGTCTTCAATGGAAACTGGAAGTTTTAGAATAACCTATATGTTAACCTAGCTGGAGTCAGGAGGGAAACAACAGAGCAGGCAAGCTGGATGCTTCAACAGTATCCAGGAGGGAGAAGGAAAGAGGAGAAACACAAAGTTGCATCTTTAATGGAGCACAAAAAGAGAAGATACTTGGGAAGACAAGGCGTTGCCCTAGAGAAGGGTACCCAGGGCCTTTGTTCTATGCAAAATCGCCCTCCTCTCAGGACAATGAGGACCTTGGGCATAAAAGCATCACTCCACCCTTGGGGGCCAACCAAGAAGGAAATAGTCAACTTTAATACATTTCATTTATCCCTACAGTCAGCTAACAGTAGCTCCTGGTGACTTAGAACTCAGAATATGTCTTACACAGGAAGGAATAATGAGCTACGTGTACTGTCACTTCGCCTTCTGACTTTGTTCTGGTTCAGGAATGCACAACGGTGTCTATTTCTGTCAACTTACTCTTGGGCTCTTTTTTTGGCTTTAGTCAGTTTAAAACTCTTGCCACTGGTTCATCTTTAACCTTATAATTGATTAAAAGCAAATTGTGAATCTTTATCAGTTACTGAAAGGTTGGTACTAGCCTATTTTTAATCTAGCCATAGAAACTAGCACTTGGGAATGAGTTACAAGCTGTTCAGAGATTTTTTATTTCAGTTTTGGAAAGCTGCCTTTTTTGTTGAACCTTTTGGCTCCTTATCTGTCAGGGGACTGTGACCACTGATCATGCTGTTTGTCTCAAAGGAAGCGGATTCATTCATATGTGTGTCTCATGTTTCATATGATGCTTGGGAAATACATGGCTCCATAGGGCCATTTTATTTACTTTCTTCTTGTCTAAAATTCCTGACCAACTCTGTGAGAAAGAAGGGCTGGAGAGATGGCCTAGAGGATAAGAGCACTTGCTGCTCTTCCAGAGGACTGGAGTTTGGTTCCTAGTACCCATGTTAGGCAGCCCACAGCCACTTATAACTCCAGCTCTAGGGGATCTGACACCCAATGTGGGCAACTGTGAGACAGTTTGTGGAACAGAAGATACTAAGGCATCCATCTTGGGAAGTACAGTATGCTGTATCAATTCATATTTTTAATTTTCAGGATTTTTTCCTCATTCTCTGTACCTTTCAAAAATGGCATTCTAATCTTGTTTCATGTATGTAGTATTCCTCTCTACTTATGGATACTAATTACAGAGTTTTCTTTTTTTCCTGCCCACTGCCTGTGACTATAACAGCATTAATATTCAGGTTGTGTTCTGAGACTATCCTTTTGCAAGAAACTTCTTACTTTGGATTTCTATGTCAGCACACTGTCCACTGGGAGGCTGTTCTAGTTTGTTTCCTACTGTTGTGATAAAGCACTAATTAAAATCATCTTAGGGAAGAAAGGATGTATAACATCCTAAAGGTTCATCATCAAGGAAAGCCAGGGCAGGAGCTCGAGCAGAAACCTGGAGGCAAGGACTGAAGCAGAGGCGGAATGCTGCTCACAGGTTTGCTTACTCTGGCTTGCTCAGCTACTTTTTTTATGCAGCTCAGGCCCGCCTGCCTAGGAATGACACCGCCCACAGTGGGCTGGGCTCTCCTACATCAATTAGCAATCAAGAAAATGTCTCACAGACCCACCCACAGGCCAACTTGACCCAGCCCATTCTTCAGCGGAGGGTCTCTCTTCCCAGGTGCGTCAAGTTGACAACCGAGATTAGCCATCACACTGCCTATAAGAAACAGAAGTGTAGTTCTCATCATTCTGGAGGCCGAGAAGTACAAAAGCAAGGCACCAATGTTAGGTGAGGGACTTCTTGTTATGTTGTGATGTGGCAGAGGGCATCACATGGCACAGAGGGGCTCCTGACAGGTGGGTCTTCTTTTCTTATAAAGCCACTAATGCCCTAGGTGCCTTGCCATGACGCCCTCATCTGTCCCTAAGTACATCCTGCAACCCCCCTCCAAATACCATCAATGTCTGAAGTTGGAAACTAAGTTTCTAACACAGAAACTTCTGGGGGACACACTCAAACCATGGTAGGTAAGTGGCATGGTTTGAAGATTACCCAGGAAGTATCTGGTAGAGAAAGAATTAACACAGAAAGACAAATGTCTTTATGGGAAATATGTAGGCAGTGCTGAAAGTAGACCATGATGGAGTACAAAGTAGAGAGTGAGCAGAAAGAAGAATATCTGTGCTGGAGCTAAGATGAGAGTGGCGGTGCAGCCACCACAGACACGTATCTAGTGAGATAAGGGACACCTAGGCTCCCTTATGGCTGGCTGTGGTAGAACCAGAATTTCGAATACTACCCATATTTTATGCCTCTAAATTTGGAGTGTGAAGAACCAAATTCCACCACTCAGTTGCTTTTTTGAGCAAGCCACTACACTCTGAATTTTCTTATTTGTAAAATTATTTGATAATTTTAATTTAAAATTTAAAATTATATGTATTTATCATTTATTTGTACGTGTATTTGTACACACACACACACACACACACACACACACTCTGCATGCAGAGACTAAGGACAACTTCCAGAAATCAGTTCTCTCCTTCCACCACGTAGAAGCCAGAGATCAGCCTCAGGTTGTCAGGTTTAGCAGCAAGTGCTTTTCCCCACTCAGCCATCTCACCAGCCCCAAATTGTTTAATATAATAGTGATATACATAGTCTCAGTTTTATAAGAAGGAATAAGATAAAGTGTGAAAATTTCTAACACAATACCTTCCATGGGAGTAGATCATCAAGGAATACTAGTGTAATCTGATTTACTGTCTGTTAGAAGGACTTTCCTTCACTTTTCACTCGGGATGACACAAGTTCAGGGAGAGATGTGATTTGGACACGACCTATTTAAATCTCACTCCGTATTGCAGACTGCTAGGCGTTTTGCTAATTTCTTCATGGCTACCTGCATCTCTTGGTTCCTGAGGGTGTAGATCACGGGGTTGAGCATAGGGGTCATGACTGTGTGGCTGATGGACACAGCCTTGTCCATAGGGAAGGGAGTGAAGGGCCAGGCATACAGGTAAATGCTTGGAATGAAGATCATAGACACAACAATGATGTGCGTGGTGCAGGTGGAAGCCACCTTCCTCCTGGCCTCCCCCGAGTGGGACCTCAGCATCACAAGGATGATAAAGTAGGAGATCAGAAGGAGAAAGAACCAGATGACATCCAGCATGCCACTGTTGGAGATCATGAGGAACTCCAGGAGGGAGGTGTCTGTGCAGGCCAGTCTCAGCACTTGGGGAACATCACAGTAGAAGTTATCCAGGATGTTGGGACCACAGAAGGGCAGTGGGAGCATCAGAGACAGCTGAATAATGGAATGGACAAAGCCTCCGATCCATGCTGTCACTACCAGCCCCATACAGAGCTGAGTGTTCATGATGGTGACATAGTGCAGGGGCCGAGAGATTGCCACAAGGCGATCATAGGCCATCACTGAGAGGAAGAAAACCGTGGCCCCTCCCAGAAAGTGGAAGAAGAAGACCTGAGCCATGCAGCCTTGGAAAGAGACAGTCTTCTTTTCGGAGAGGAAGTCCACCAGCATCTTAGGGGCAGTGACTGAGGAGAAGCAGAGGTCTAAGACAGCCAGATTGCAGAGCAGAAAATACATGGGTGTGTGGAGCCTGGAATCTGAGGTCACTGTGACTATGATGAGGAGGTTTCCCACAAAAGTAGTGGTATAGACAAACAAGAACACCAGAAACAAGAAAAGCTGGAGCTCTTGAGTCTGTGAGAGCCCC